TTCTTTTCTTTTCTTTTCTTTTCTTTTCTTTTCTTTTCTTTTCTTTTCTTTTCTTTTCTTTTCTTTTCTTTTCTTTTCTTTTCTTTTCTTTTCATCAATAAAATAGAAATATAGAAATATTTTTCTCAGTATTATTGAATTTTCTGCTTTCAAGCCTTCTACTCTGATGCTGCTTTCTGGCAGCATATATATTTTAGAGGTATGTGCTCATTCCTGCATGAGCTGCCTGGCAAAGAGAAAGGAAAGCTAGAAACTGTGAGAACCCAGCCTCCTATCTCTTTTCCTAGGCACTAACCAGTGAGTGTATTTGCAAATTGCTGATTTGTCTTGTAGCATAATAAGATATGCTCAAAAAGAAAAAGAAAAAGAAAAAGAAAAACAAGCAACCTCCACCATCAGCAGTCTCTGCTAAGAAATGTCTTTGCTTTTTTTTTTTTTTTTTTTTTTTGATTAGCATCAATACTAGTAGAAAAACAGTCCCTAAAAATAGATGGAAGAGGTCACACTAAAGAGGTGTTTAACTTCAGTCTATAAGTGTGAAATATCAAGTAGCATGTGCTAATATCTTTCTGTCTTACTATTTAACGATTCAAGGCTATTACAATTACCTGCGATTGGGTAGCTACTTCTCTTTCTTTTTTTATTTGAATCCACTTATATTCCCTACCTGCCTGCACAACAACTACAAGAAAGCTACACAGTTGCTCTTGATACCTGTGACAACTCTGAAATGACTTCTCTGCATCAGTGCTGTAAATATTTTTTCCAAACCCATGCAAGTTTGGGGATTTGTTAATGAGAGCATCTACTCATTCAAAGAAGGTAGTATGAATATCAACAGAGAAAACCATGTGACTATCAATGGGTGAAGTGTAGGTTAATTCTAATAAAGAAATAAAAATTATTTCTGCTGAGACCTGGTGCTCTAAGCTATTTGGTTCCCCTCAGCTTCCATTGAAATACAATATTCATAAAATTGTAAGAAAAGATTCTAAATGATGAATTACAGAGAAATTAGCAGTCAGGAAGTCCAATCCTGAAAGATAAGTGATTTCTATCCATTTGCTATAAAGGTTTTCTTTGCATGGAAGTCTCTTTCATATGCAAAGATTTATATCAATTTGATGTCGTTTCCTCTGTCTCAATAAATAGCTTTGAAACTGCTGCAATTCCCTGACTGCACTTGATAAGGAGCCTTTTGTCAAATACCAGTATGCAATTCATATGGCTGAAATTTGTCCTAACACGAATCAGAAGCGAAGAGATCAGATAAACCTCTGGTATAATTACAGTGCTTCCTAGGGAGTTACAATAAGCCCGGTTTGACTCAAGGCTGTATATTTAGCCTGGAAACAGCCAGCGTGGGTATTCAAACAGGACGGAACAAACACACGTGCAAATACTCCAGCTGCCTCCGCGATGCAGATGCTAATAATCCTGCGGCTTTGTACCCTGTGATTAGGCACACACAGGGTAGTGGTTTGGATTAAAGAGTTAAACTAAGTGCTTCTCCCGCCTCTCTTGGCGGAAAGAAAATTCAGATGCATCCGATATTCGCAGACAGTTGGGCAGCAGCTGAGGTTTCATTAAGAATCCCACGTATGGCCAGAAGCAACATACACCTCGGTGTTTCCGGGAGCTGCAGGCAGCCAGAGCAGATGGTAGAAATCATCATCCCCAGACAGTCATCAGGGGAACCTCAGGCCACATGCTTGCATTTTTCTCAATGAACCGCATACAAGGAAGGCATTTGATCCATGTGACGGCAGCTGCTGGCTCCTCAGGGAAGAGGGAGGCCGGGGATTGGAGGAAGCCTCTCGCAGGTTATTAACAGGTCATGCTGTGACATTAGCAGTCCAGAAACATCGTATCTCCCGGGGGCTAAAACAAAAGCAAGAGAGAGGTTCCTCATAATTCAAGCATAGTTCAGTGCTTGCAGATTACAGCACATAATCTGCTTGGCAACAGCACAGCTCACAGAGACACTCTGCTCTCTGATTTTTTTCTTTCTTCTCCAGGTTTCCAATAGAAATGTCAAAAAGAATTCTTTATGCGGTGAGCATCCTGCGTAAATCTCAAGGGAAGAAGACAGCAGCTTCCCTACGATTTTCCAAGTCAGACCTGGAGGCCAGCATTGCTGTGATGGCTGGGCTCCCGCATGCAGCTGGCCCTAACCTTTTTGTTCTCTTTGCAATGCCTTAGACGCTGCCCTGCTCATTCATCATTGCAGTCTGTGTGAATCACCAAGCCCCTCCTGTGTGCAGGGGCAGTCGCTGCAACTGCCTGCCTCACCAGGCAGAGACTTTCTCTAGTGATATTTTGGAGGACACTAGGTATTTGGAGGAAGAGTCTTAAAATATTGCATGTGCATTTTATTATTATTATTATTATATTCAATATAGCATAATATAATATTTTATATTGCACATGCAATATTGCAATAGTTGACATTGCAATATTAATTATTGCATGGAGGGGTTTAAAATCACTTATAAATGGCCTCTGCTCTGCTCTCATCCCAGCCTTCTGGATATAGCCAGCCATTCACTCAAGCCTGCAGATGGAAAGTCTCCAAATCCTGAGTCTAATTTAAACACTCTCCATGCAGTGTTGACAGGTTAGGGCCATGGTATTCACCCAGGCAATCCCAATCTCCATCCTGCAAAGCATAGTAATGTAAATATAAATATACGTGTGGACTTGTGTGTACAGAAATATGTGGGTGAGGATGTGGGCATGTATTTGTAAATACAAATAAAATGATTTCATACCTGGAAGCTACTTCCTTCTTTATTGCTTGTAAATTCCAGGGATTAAATGAAGATTATCAGAATTTGAAGTATACAGCTTTTGCAATTAAATAGGTCTTAAAGTTTCTCATGTGCTAGGTGAAAACCTTCATGAATCACTTTTCCCTGTGGAGAAATTTATTCTCTTTTTCCTACACAGGAGTTTTGTATTTCCTATCTTTCACAGTAGACCTAACCTCACTCAAACCCAGGGTCTTTTTTCCTCTTCTCCACTGTGCCAGACCCTGCATTTCCCACTCACTTGCTTGCCTGCGCATTTCAGGTAGATCCTGGGTAGGAATATCTCAGCTAACACAACCTTCTACAACAGTATCTGCTGCTTGCCAGACTGTCCAAAAGGCCATCGTATCTCCCCCTGCTCTCTTAAGAATCCTTCCCAATGCCTCAGTTCTTGGTGTTTTATCGTTATGAAGTGACTATGAGCTATGACTTTGAAGTGAATATAAAGTGCAGTATCTGATATATTGGAAATTTCCAGGATCCATTGCATATGAACTTCACAAATGGCCTGGCCAAAAAATAGAAACCTGGAACACTGTGGAAATCCTGGCTGTTTTTTTCCAAGACTTCCAGGAACCTGGAAGACTGGCTATAGATGAAGAAATTAAGATGCAGTTTTGAAAGAGTGATTACAGTATTACAGAACCAATTTCTACAAAGAAAAAAAAAATCAGTCCTAGCTTTTTACTAAATTTCTTGCAGTATAGGGAAATCTAATTTGCCTACTAATCCCCTTTGAAACCATTTACTCACATCTTCAGTATGAGGGGAGAAACTGGCACCTGAAATTGCTTTGCCATTCTGTTAAAGATTAACCAGCAAAAATAAGTAAGACTGGATCTTGTTGGTGCTACTAGTTCTGCAGTGACAGTGGGCATAGTCAGTTCAGCAGCTTTGTGAGTCCAAAAGGTTTTTGCAAGTTCCCTTCATGCTGTTCTCCTGGATCCTTGGAATCTCCTATATCACACCAATGCCCAGTAATATTCTCTGAGTTTTACTGGAAGGCAATTTGAAAAGGGACATGTGCAGTACCAAGGGTGGACTCCTGGGCACTCCCACACTGACCCAGTGCCTAATGAGTCACTCGAGGCAGGCGCCTGCACCGGCAGCGCTGGCGTCAGGGGGAGCTTCCTTGGCCACCAGTGAAGAGGAAAGCTTTGCAGGGAGAGGTAATGTCTTTTATTAGAATGACTGACAGAACAGAGAAAAATGAATTGAGTTCCGAGTTCACAGGACCCTCTTCAGGCCTGAAACAAAAGCAGGAACTCCATGTGTGGGAACAATTAGCTGTTAGTAGCAGTTCTTAATTTTCACCACCAGTAAGATTTGTGAGATTGGAAATGATGATGCATTGCATCCTACTGCCAAAGTCTCACACTCCACATTCTTTCAAATCCTCTTATTGTCTGTTTGCATGTAAAAGACCTCAGCTCTTACAGAATGGAGCTTGTGCTGACTTGTCATAGTATTGTTTTCTCTTTGACAGTTATTTAGAAAAATATGTGGTAGTAACAATAAGGATTCTTGTTGGTACAGACCATTAATAGGGATCCAAACGAGGCGGGCAATTTTTATCTGGGCATGCAAGGAGAAATGAGCAAAGCTCGTTCAGCATGAACACAAGAAATAGTTGCTTTAAAAAAAAAACTGTTTTATTAAATATTTTTTCCTGAAACATAGAAATGGGTTTTATCCTATCAAGAATTATCTATAGTATTAAGTCTAGACATCTTCTTTATTAGAGAAGATTTTCATATGAGCCACTTTCAAAAAGTCTTTTATGTTCCACCAATTGATGAGAGTTTTAATGTCAGTGCAAGAGCATGATTTTAAAAGAAAGAAGTTAATGATGTGGGATGGAATTAGCATTCATGAGATAAGTCAGCCTGACAGTGAACACCATAATCAGGCAGAGGTAGATGCAGATCCCCAGGCAGTAAGGGCCTAAGAGGACATTACATCCCACCCTTCTGCCCCCTGAGCACCATGTGGTGCTTCAGGGGTTCTCTAGCCAAGTCTCTCACAGTTGCCTCACTCTGCATTTCCCCTACTTCACTCCCGCCCAACACTGCAGCTGCATCTGGTGTGGCCCAGTTAATCCCAAACTTGTACAGGTGCTCCTGCCATCACAGCCATTACCTGATTGCATTAGATACCAGCACATGAAGGCTGTCAGCCTGTCCCAAAGCACCACCTCTGAAGGTCTCCTATGTGAGTGCAAAATCAACAAATATACGATAGCAAGAATTTAGGTATGTCTGTAATATTTCTAAAGTAAGGAGAATTGTTTTCATTTATCTGTAAATTTAATTGACTATGCTCCCTGAAGGGTTTGGGTTTTTTTTCTAAACTGAGTTAGCTATTATTATACTGGCCAATTTTAGCATACTGTGGTTTAAAATCTCCAGTGGAGAGATATTAATTATCTTTTGCTGCATTTTTATAGCATCGCTAAGTTTGTTCTCCTACTTGTATGAAGGGGTATATTAACTCAATTCAATCAATGACCCTCAATTTTTATTCCATCACCATAATCCATTACCTTGCTAAAATAATACCATTTTTATATTAAAATGCTTTTATTAATGGCTCTGGAAATCTTTTCCAGAGCCATTAATACTTTTCATTGTTCCTCTTTGGACATGAGCTTTGCTTTGGAAGTGAGGTAAGCAGAAATTAACACACTTCAAGGGAAGATCCTGCCACATACTTGTTCAAAGTGTAAAAGTGTACACTTATGACACTTCTTTTTTTATTCTCCAATTCAAGCTGACAACTCAGTCAAGGCCCGTTCACTTCCTATAGGTGATAGTTGCAGTTTCTGTGAATGACATACCATTGGGAACTGGACCAGGATGTCAGCTCATTTTACCATATGGTACGCAGCCTGTAAGATGTGATAGCACAACCTCATATCTTCCCTACTAATCTCAGCTGTAGTTTTATCCTGAGAAGAGTTCATAAAAAAATCAATAAATGAGTTAGGAAAAAAAGCTCAGCTTTGTAAATGAGACCCATTTAAATATATTTCTGATCTTGCATGAGGTGCTGAGCCTCACAGAATTGTAAGGAAAATAATAATAGTAAATCTGAAATGCCATGTCAAAGAACATCATAGCCTTCCAAAATTAAAGGGATAGTCTGTGCCGGTCCTGTGTCATTAGCCCTGTGGCAACATCCTAAAATAGAATCATGGTCAGCATTCACTTTGGTCCGGTACAGAGAAGAAAAAGGATTGTGCTTTACAAGCACACATACAGCAAATATGTATGGGTTTATTTTCAGATAAAGCAAGGAGTATATTAAAGCTTCTGGCAAGGCAATGAGCTATGTAGGGCCAAGAGAGAGCAAACTAGATCACAATAGGGAAAGAGACTATCTCAGGGCAAGCTTATGCTATTTTCCAACTCCAACACTAGAGTACAACAAATCCTTAGAGTGTCAGAAAGAAGCAGGCTGCTAGAGGTGACAGGAGGATACCAGAGATGTAGCATTAATTCAGTGTGATCAGTGACTCAGTCACTGAGTTACTGATTGCCAAACATAACCCTGTACCTTCAGAGAATATGAGCACACAGAAAGCTTCACAAAAAGCAAAGGTACATTAAAAGCATGCATGAGAAATGCAAACACTGAGAAAACAGGAAGGACAGAGAATGGCAAACACAGAAAAGGAAGCAGCAGACGTAAAGGCAAATATACACAGAACTAGTAATAGACAGAGCAAAAGGTAAATACATAGGCAAAATACAGTGATTAAAAGAAAGATTATCCCACAAATCTTTCTAGAAGATTTTTGAAAACTTTGAAGCAGAAATTTAGTTATAGCAATGATTTTACAATATGATGACAAAACAGAGATTAAAACATACTACTTTTAGCAGTACAGTTATACAAAATCTGCAAGTGTAAATCATTGACTTCTTTTTTTACATACCTTTTCTTCAGAGTTGCAGAAAAAATGTGAAGATCTGAATGACAAAGGGACAATATCTGTAATGCTAATAAAAATAGGAAAATATAAAGTATATTTTTAATTAAACCCTGTTTTTTAATGTAGCATTCTTTTTATGAATCTTGGAGCTTGGCAACACTTAGAATATTATAATCTTTTTTTTTTTTTATGGTCTTTTCATGGGTCCAAATACTTATACATTATTAACTATTAAATTTGAAGTAATAGATATAAGAAAACTCTCACTCTTGACATATTTTCTCCACTGAGGATTATGGTCATGATTTAGTACAGCATGATTTTGAATCGTGCACTAGCACTACTATTAGCATCAGAACAAATTTTAGACAGTATAACGTAACAAACAAGAAAAATGAGTTAGTGGGTTTTTTTCTAAGAAAGTGTCAACCAGAAATATTACTAGTGCCTAAATTAATATATGAATATAAAATATTTCTTTTTAAGATACTCCCACCCAGAAATGAAGATATTTTCTGTTATTGAAAATTGGCCACCTGAACTGGCCCAGCAAACTTGGAAATCAGACCCTTTTACCAATGTTTGAAAAAAGCATGCTTGACAATAGCAAATGCACCTAGTTGTTTTGTTGCTCCTTTGAAAAGCATAACAAATCATCAGGTGACCAGTTCCCACATTGAACAGCTAGCTTTGACTTGAGATTAATCTCTAGGGTCAGTGTTAAGTAGTTAAGGATCTATTTCAAAATTCCCTTAGGATTATTTCTATTGACTTAGAGTGCTATAAATGGTACTCTTGATTCTCCACCTCCTCACTCCATGGTTCACAGAAGGCTGCAACATCCATAGAACTGGAAGTGACTTCCCCCAAAACAAATAAGGACACATTCTGTTTATTAAACTGCTATATTAGATAAATCTTTATAGACAAAAATTGGGAGACTTCATCAGTTTTACTAAACAAAAAAGTTCCCAAAGTATTATGTATCTTTTTCTAAGAAATAAGCTAGGGAACTCCAAAAAAATTATAGCAATGTATCAAAATAAAAGCAAGCAAGTTCCTCTTCTGCTTTCAAAAGTGAAAAATTTTGAGATAAAGAGCTAAAATCAAATTCAGCTCAAGTATTATATAATTTGAGTAATTCAAGATATAGTCACTTCTTAGCACACAAAACTTTGCATCACTTATTCTGATGTCAAAACTACAGTCTATGATACCACCAAGCTCATCACAGTTGAAATGACTCTGGTACAAAGTGCAATGTCTCAAAAACATGAGTGACAATGAAAATTTGCTTCAAGCTTAGGAAGACTTGCCTATGGCAACAAAAACTGCTCTAAATTTAAACCAAAGTATTCCTTTAGACATGAAGAGCAGTATTCCAGCAGCCTAACACAAAACAAGGTACCAAACATAATTTCAGTAAGGTAGAAGTGAAAAAGGTGAAAAACACCTATTTGATAGAAGTTAATCTTCAATAGTTATGATTAAGAAATATATGTCCTTCCTTCTATACATAGATGATATAGAACAATTTAATTCAAAAAAAACCTAATTAGCATAGGTTGTATAGCAGGTGCTTTAGTGAAATCTTAAGCATCTGAGTAAAAGCTTAAAGGCCTTGGATTATCTTTTAACACCAAAATGGGAGATTTTAATCAGGTCTGCTATGTCTGGCACATACTGAGAGTTAATTAGGTTTATCAGCAGTAACCGTAATGGAAATGCTTGGTTCGTGGTGTGTTTTTTCAAGGTGGTTTTTTTTTTTTTTAGTATTTTTTTTAATCTCAGTAGCAAGACCTGAGGAGAACTCAGTTTAGTTTTTCAAGATGGTTTCTCTCAGTGCTAGCTTGAGGCTAGAATTTATCCTTCTTTGGTCACTCCTCATGGCAAAATTCAAGACTGTAGGTGTTTCTTTACACTGCCTTGCCTTTTACTTAAATTGGCTTTGCCAGTTGCTTAAAAGTGTGAGTGCAGCATGACTATAAAAAGTTACAGGCTCAAAACTGTGCGTACAGTGCTGTACATTAGCATGCAAAGCACCCACCTTGCTTTGGGGAAAATGAATATGTAAGAAAGAAGACATGCTTGAATCAGGTCCACAGTTATGAAATCTTAATTAATCCAAAGAAACTCTGCCCTGAGAAGCATATTCTGTATCTCTTTATTTATTTTCATTTGATATAAGGCCCAGGACCAAGGACTTAAATTCCCTTTGCTTGGGCATGGACTGTGTAATTGTTCCCTCAGGTTGCATATTTTTGACCTGAAAAAATGATAATAGCTGTTTATGACCAGACATGATAATTCAGCTTCTTCACATTTGCAATAAACCAGCTAATAATATTTTCATATCATGAGCATTTGATCTCAAGTTAAATAACTTCATCTTTCTTCTTAGCCAAAAAAAAAAAAAGGTATTCTCCTCCTACTCTGGAAAGCAAAAACTTTAAGGTTCGTTATTACAATTTGTGCTTCAACTCAGTACCATCAAACCAACCAACCAACCAACCAAATCAAATACCAAAAGAGCATAGTGGCCAGAGAAAATAGAAGCACATGGTTTTGAGCAAAATGGGCTCAGCTACATCTGTATTAGGATCCTGGCCTCCCAGAGGTACTACTCAGTACATGCATGATTGGGCCAATGAAAGTGATTTCACTTTGAAATGAATTTATGACCTACTTTCAAATCTCTGAAGAAAACAGGGATTTAAAATGGGAAGCTCAAAAGCCACAACAGCATCAATGCAAATATCTGCGCTTTTTTTTTCTCTGAGTCTTTTAATAGTGTCACAGCCCTAATGTTAAAAAAAAACAGTATGTCAGTGACGTGCTGGAGGCAATGCAAGTTATCAATCAGTAATGTGAAGTGGATTTAAGCAGCTTAATAGAGGGCAAAATTAAATTGATTAATGGCCAGGGAAGTACTCACTGACATGGAGGTTTCAAGGAATTACAATCTGATTAAAATTCCATTTTAGAAATGAAGGGATATAAGATGCTAATCAGTCTAAACCACAGATTACCAGTGCCAGGTCTTTGTAACAACTGGGAGTGTTGTGAGAGAAACAAAACTTAACTCAGTTTTCAGAAAGGTTGTGGCGGGAACAGGACTGAGAAACATTTGTAGTTTTTTAAAAACTAGAGCACATTGGAGTGAACTTCATACATGCACCAAGCCTACTGATCTTTGGTGGACATTTGATACCTGAGGACCCATTTGTCTTTGGGTCAGTTCACGGCCAAGGGAACATCTTGAGATCTTCAAGTCCCATCCAGCAAAACAAGGCTCTGCAAGCTCAGGAGAGCCACCTCAGGAGACTTCTGTGTCCTCAGCAGCTCTTCAGATTAGAGTGATTCAGAATTTAATGGACATTACATTTAGAAGGGCTGTTGAACAGGCCATAAGAAAGAACTCACCTTTTATAGATGTTAAGGTGACATAAAATCAGTGTTTACAGTAAGCCTTAAACAATTAAGTGAGGCCATTTACCTTTTTCCTCTTATGAGGATGAATGTCCATAAGGACTAGGAATTCAATTCAAAAACTCAAAAAAAAAAACTTTCAGTAGGAGTGGTTGAGATCTGCCTCATTGCACTTAAATTTCCATAAAGTGGCTTGCTTGGAAGAGGAGATGCTTTAAGGTAGTATCTTTCATCAACTTCTAAATTAAATCAACCTTTCCTGTGCTGCAGTATTTATGTTGTAGTGTTAGTAGCCTCTAATTTGAGCTTTTCCAAGCTGCATTTACATGGTTTCTGGCATAGTTTTGTGCCTTGTGTGCTTTCTTTCAGCTCTGTTACTGCAGGTACTGGTTTGCTCCCACATCACTTCTAGATACAAGAACAAAGAGCTGTGACATTTCAGAACGTGATGAGCAAAGGAATAGTAAAAATTAAATCCTTTAGTAGGAGCCAACATCTTTCAGCAATTTAATTTGTGATCACTGATCCAAATTCAGAGGTATTCTGGAAAAGAAAATACCTAGGGCAAAACAACCATATGGTAGGTTCTAAAAGCTTAAGCTTCTCTCATAGGATCGTTGCATTCCTGTGTAAAATAAATAATTGTTATATGGCTTCTATAGAGCTAATGAATCACTAGGAGAAGCTTTATGGTTCTTCAGATGTGCCTGGTTTTGCAGCTCTCGTTTACAGATAAGGAGCTGTCCTTTTATGTAAGGGGCAGCTTATATCCACTCTAGTGCCATTGGAGAGCCCAGAAACACTTGAGAAATGAATCTACCCCTGACATATCCCTCTGTCTGCCTTCCCACTGATGGGTACATGCTAGTTCTCAAAGATCTTCAAGAGAGAAAAATATGTTGTAAATGTGTTTCAGCAGTTGCTGTGGAAGCTCGGTTTTATTATGCATTATTCAGTGACACTAGATGGCAGAGCAGCTGTGTTTTGAATTAGTTAACATGGCATTGTCTGTCTTTTTGCAGGTCTTCTATGATATTACAGTTTGAAATGTTGTGAACCTGTATTTCTATGCTGGCCTTTGATTTTAATGAATTTCTTGTCTCTTTTAAAAAGACTGCAGTCAGAAGTGTAAGAGGATCAAGCTGAATTTCTTAATCTAGTCCAAAAGTGACAGAAGATTAGAAAAGAGGAACTGAGAAGACTGTCCAGCAGCCATTTGACCATATCAGCTCTATCCCTCTTCCTTTGACAAAAGGCTTAGGTCTAAAAGAATCTGTTGAATTGGGGAAATAGAAGATTTTGGACATGGCTCTGAAAGAAAGTTGAAAGAGCTACAGGACTATGTAAAAAGTTGAAGATTAGAAAAAAAAAAAAAAAAAAAAAAAGAACTCTGCTGATTTCAGTCCAGAGGGAGAGAATTCTCCCTTTTCCCAGGGACAGGACCATGTGCCACACACATGTACCAGCTGAGGAAGATGCAGTGAGTGCGCTGCCGACGGCGGCTCAGCAAGCTGGCAGCGTGCCATCTCTGAGCTACTTGCGCCAACGTCTGTGGAGCTGTTGCTGACAGGACCCTTCTGCCATCGTCACTGCCAACCGGCTGGCTTTTGGCTCAGAGTTATCATCCTGCCAAAGAACTGCTCCTCCAACAGCACTGTATCGAGCACGAAATGTCTCTCCACTATGACCCACTACAGAAAGGGCTGCAAAGTTTGCTTGTCTTGAGATAAGTGCTGCACTACTTACAGGATGAGCAGTTGTGTCCTTTTTCACCTCTTCCTGTTCAAAGCAAGATATTTGCTAACATGACTAACTGCTTATATAGCACTGCTTGAAATTCTGCCTGCTCACTAAATGTAGAGGTTTTACAGGGATCCTCCTAGGGATGAGATCAATATTAACCCTCATGAAATTTTCCAGGAACTCACGTTCTAAAATAATATCATTTTCCTGGAATATAAATGTATTTTGAAAAGCAATAAAACTTTTCATGATACAAAACTTTTCCTTCAATTGTCTGTAAAAGACTTTTATATTAAAAGGAGATATACATTGTCCTTGGTGCCATCATGCATAAGACAGAGAAATATTAAACCATATACTTCCACAAGGAAAGTATGACTTGAGTAAGTACAGAATCTCCTAGGTGTCTGCTGTACTTGTTTGACCCTATTCCTCGGTCATTGCCTTGCAAACCATACTCCAAATCCACTCTCTAGATCCTCAAGGCAGAGGGCAGACTTCTGCATTTTATTTCAATCTCTTCATCAAATCCAGCCTACCTGGAAGAGACCAATAAAGCAGTGTGAATAGCTCGAAAAATTTCCTTTGAGGATTGACAAAAGATCAATTTGGACAGCCTTGCACTCCCTTCCTGTCTCCTTCCCTCATGGAGCCCAGTGATGGTATTTTACTGAAATGAATGTTTGCAAGTATAAATTTCAACATTGCACCATTTTGTCACTGAAGACACACAGAGAAAGGGACCACTTTTAAAATGCTATAGTGTGAGGTGAAGGTTGCCAAGGCCCAATACTTTCGGGTCAACCAGATCATTAAGCCAAATTGCAAAGGAGACAGCAGCTTCCAGAAGGTTATTGCTGTCCTTTGGCTCCAGCTACACGAGGATGAGGCCTCTGTCCTTTCCGCTGGAAAGTGCTGCGGCCAGCAGAGAAGAGGAAGTGCTCTGCTCTCCGAATAGCTTGCAGGCTGGCACATCCGTAAACACAAACGACAAATATCACTTTACACCTCTCAAAACTGGACAAACCCCACAAAGGGGGCTGAAAGAACATGCTAATGAATTCAAAGAGATGCTGGCATGGGAGTTGCTATGGAAGCAAAGAGGAATATTTTTAGATTGTTCCTGCATCACATATTCTCCTACACAGAAACTCCCATTCCCTCAAATTACCTTTAGCGAGGAGTGAAGGATGAGTATCTCTTCACTTCATCATCCATTCTGCCTGTTTTCTGAGTTAGTAGTGAACCCAAGTTGGACTTACATTATAGTCCCATGAGAACCTGAAAGATATTAAAAGACAGAAAGATGTATGTGATTGCCATATAGAGAAGGGATGAACATTTTTTGTACATCTGAATTGATGATTGACTTCTGTGCATCCATGTAATGAACATTCATCTGCATTTCATGCATTTCTGTCTTCTGCAATCTCTGGAAGTGCAACTGAAATAACATTAATACAGATATGTGAATCTCTTGTGCAAGAAAAAAAATCATTAGTTAAGTTATATGCATTCTGCAGAAGACGTAAATAGATATGTATTTGTGCATAACCATATGATTCTCTAGGGAGTGATTAGCATTTTGGCAGAGTAGCTTGCAACTATTTCTGCTTTCCTTCCAGAGAAATCTGACACAGAGGGATCTGTTTTGGTACTAAAAACCTATTTATTATATAACATTTTTTGTAGCTACAGGATACATTTTAGAGCAGGTAAGCTAGCCAACAGCAGACTTTGATATCACTTGTCCAGCAGTGACCTCTCCTTTCATAACTTTTTACCAATTTTAAAGATATTTTTAAGACAGAGCATGGGCCAGAAAGAAAGAGCACTGCTAATGGACAATCCTTCTTAAGTATTGTTCCATTCTCAAAAAAAAAAATCTATATATTTAGGCAAACATATTAGTTTTTCCTTAAAGTTATCCGGTCGTAAAACTGATTCAGGGCAGTATTAGGGAAACCATTCTTCCAGGTCTGGTGAATTTCTTGCTTGGAGTGAAGGACTCTGATGATATTGAGAAGCCAGTGGGCTGTGGGGTTTTACAAAGGTCTCCATAGAGCTGCCAGGTTGCAGATAAAGATTGCTTTCACAGCAAGAAGCAGGGAGATGGAGAGAGAGAGACCAAGACTTCCGGTGAGCACAAGTTCCTCTTTATAGTCATGCTAAGAAATGATACTCTGAGATAAGGCTTCCCACAGTGGTCATTTTTGTCCTGGGTTCAGTGCAGTGTGTCAAGAGGGTGCCACCAAGCACCCTGTTGCAGCTGGGGATAAGCTTTCTCAATGCCTTGATGTTTATTTTTATAGCAGAATTCTCAAGCCAGAGAGTGGAATAATGAAATAAATGTCATATGCCATGAAACAGGTGGTAGATGACACACTTGGTCCTTTCATTCTGCAGCTGCGTGACATGAGCAGCCCTTTCTCCGTGTCCCATGGGAGGAGCAGAAGATGCTGCAGCAGAACATGGGTGCCTGCAATTTCTGTGCTTCCCACAGATCAGGAAAGGATCCTGACAGCCTTTCCTTGTTGCCAGAAACACCAAAGCCCTCTCCGACAGTGAGAGTGAAAATCACGAAAGCAGCAGGCTTGATTTGCTCGAGCAGCAAATAGGCTGTCCTGGAAGTAAATCTCCAGGGAGAAAGAAGCAACCTTGTGATGAGGGGGCAATCTAGGTCCAGGGAAAGAGTTGCTGATAGATGTCCAGTGACACCAGTCTCATCCATTCATATGTCAGAAGACTCTAGTTTTTTACCACAGTCTCACCCTCACTGTGTCAACCACTGCACTTTTTTAATAGAGTGAATTAGCTTGCAGCTCTCAGTAAATTACTGGCTAATGTTATGTTTTGGATTCTTTTGATTTGATAGAAAGGGGGAAATGTAGCAGTAATCACTGGAAGGAGTGGATATCACCATCCATCACATGACAAGGTGATTTATGAGACTACTTTGACCTCTGCCAGTTGGTGCTATCTGGGAAATAAAAAGCAGTTTGTCTGTGAGAGCATCCTGTGCCACACCTGCTTGAGAGCTGCCTTTGGGAATGTGGAAAAGAAGACCCGAGGGACCTCCGTCCATGTGAGAAGGAGGAATTGACCATACTTGAAGGATATGTGAAGGAGCACAAGTTCACAGGCTTCTGTCTATGGTGGCAGGAAGACAGTTCAGAGTCAGAGGTTTTGTACCTGGCACCCCGAATGCTTAATAACTTCAGAGTGTAATGTGCACATCTGGGGCTTACTAGTTGGTAAGACTGCAAGCAGGGTTTAAGGTTACCAACACTGTGCAAGCTGTCTCTCCAGGGACATTTTGCTAAAACCTATGTGAATTAGAATGCACAGAAAGCTTTGCAGAGCTTTTCCCTGAATATCACTGAAAACCCATTCTGCTGCTCAGAATCATCTTTTTCATCAGTCAGTTTTCTGCTCAGGTTGTGAGGGTTATATCTTCCCTCACTCTTTTATGAATCTTAATCAATCTTCAGCTCAAATTTTAGAAAGCAGAGTGAAAATCCTTTTATGCAGTCAAGGAAGGACTCCCTACCTGAAGTCACTGGCTGCAGGCAGTATACACTTCTTTGCAGATCTCCCACCCAGCTGCACTGAACCTGAAGAGTATCACTAAAAAAAATCTCCATTACTGGAGCTGGAAATTATGAAAACCTGACAGACACAAATGATTTGATTGTAAGAGCTTAAGTAGATGACATTTGTCAGCCCAAAACCAAGATAGGGTAATGGGGGATGTAATTCTAGATCTGTCAGTAGTTGAGTGGGAGGAAAAAAAAAAATAGAGGAGACTTTTCTGAAACAGAAACTTAGTTTGGGTGCTGGGATGACCTAAGATCCAGAAATGAGACTGATTTGGAGAATGAATAGACTCAAGATAATGATTCAGCAATGATTGGGAAGGAGGATTCAGGGAAAAAAAAAAAAAGATTTTCTTAAAACTCTCAAAATGTTTGTAGCTGAAAGAAGCATCAGTGACTGCAGCATGTGATGAGGTTTTATTCTGCAGCAAAACATTGGTTGGGCAAGGGCTATGAGAGTGATTAATCAGGTGAGAAACATAATCTACAGACTTAGGATGTGGAAGCTGGGAATGTTGTATTACTGCCAGGGATAGTATTGCTGGGTAAAGGGTTTGTTCAAATAAAATCAATAATAAATAAATAAATAAATAAATAAATAAATAAATAAATAAACTATTTTGTTCCAGAAATAAAGAGCATGCTGTCTAGCACTCTACTGTAGCATTTTGCCCTACCTTTCCCACAGTCGCATCACGGAATTGAAGACGACTCACTGCATGGAGGTACTTGTCTGCTGAACAGCCCTGGAAGAAAGGGAAGACCCCCTTCAGAGATGGGATATATGAGGGAGTAATAGCTAACACAATAGTGCCCATTTGGGGAGACATTATTCCTTGCCACCTTGGAAAAGAATTTGTCCTGGCAAGAGGCAAGAAGATCATCATGTATGAATAAAATAAGACATGAATTTGTATCAGCTAACAACTTTACAGCAGTCTATGCAGTGCCTTCTACATTCCTCACCCGAAAAGCAAAGCCCCAATGTAACTGTCCTGACTTGAGTGCCCATAGGATGGAGAAAGTCGTAACAGACGTAGATCATCACTCATTATCAATTTTTCCAGTGCAAGTCTTCCAGCCTAGGAGTCAAAGGACAAGAGCACTATGATGTAGATGGCACATGGG